TGCTGTACCTTCTCCCTAAAAGCTTCTGGTTCATTTATTAGTGTGTTCAGGCCTTTATTCAGAATTTTGAAGGCTAAAAACTGCAAGTTGAAGTTCTGTATTAGTCTCTCGAAATTAAATATGTAAGTTACATATAAGTACCATTATGGGCAGAACCTCATTCCGTTCTTCTTGTGTTTGGGTCTGATAATGTGACTTCACGTGCCCTGCAAGGAAGCTGCTTTCTACCTAGTATAACATAGCATATTTTCCCATGCCACATCTGTTGTGTGGGAAAGGGTTATGCTCCTGCTTTAAGCATTTTTGTAGCATAAAGCTATAATATCAGAAGCCTGTCTGAGAGTCTCTGATCTAGAGAGCATTTATGCCTGGCTGAGCTTCTGGGTAAGTTGTCCTTCCAAGAGGCTGCTCGCCTCTTTCCTCGTAAGGTTTGGGAGACCTTCAAAAAGAGGTGTAACAAATAGGATTTTACTGAACTTTCAGTCTAGCAACAAAAGCATAAGTTGCTCTTACCATGAATAAATTTATATGGAAACAATATTTTTGTGAGCTAAAATGACAGGGTCTTTTAAGCCAATGCTCAATTTGCTGTGTTGTGTCATAGTAAATGCAAAAGTAAACAACCGAAAACAGTTACTTTTAGATGCTGGCAACCAGATAAACTGCTTATTCATCTTCTGTTACATGACAAAAAAGTAGCGGTAGGAATAATGGGTAGCTGTTTCACTGCAACCTAATGATACAGGATTTGAAAAGTTCTGAACATTGCTCCATTTAGCTGCAAGGTCTCTTTATGAAATCCAGTGTCCTTTGCTCTCATTCTTGTAGTCTGATCAGATCTCTCCTCTACTTGCTTGTGCACTTACGTAATATCTGTTGTTGTTGTACTCTAATAACTCTTTGAGAAGGTGCGTGTGCTGTAACGTTGCAGTTTTTGTCTGAAAACACCAGCCCTGAAATGTTTCAGGGGCAAAAATAAAATCTAGTATTCTGTTAGGGAAAAAGGTGCTCTTATCCCTTGGGATATTCTTAGTCCACAGAGCTCATTTTTGCTATTAGCAGGGTAAACAAAGTATTGAGAACAAATATTTTTCTTTCAGTTGCACTGGCAAATAGGAAATAACATCTGTAATTTTGTGTTTACACCAAAAAGGCATTGTTAAAGGGCTCTGAAAAAATAGGCCATTGGGCTGGCTGTTTTGCATTATCAGCCTGAATGACCAGAAGAATTGGATGACTTATGTGACACTGAGGGAACACTGAACTCTGCATGGTATTTGCCTTAAAAATTAAGGACTCTCCATGCAAATATTACCTGCTGGCCTGCTGAAATCTGAGGTCCTCTAGAACCTTCAAGGTGCCTGTAGGAAAATCTTAGTCTCTTTGTTCTCCTGATGATTTACCTGCTGTGCTTTGTAGAACTCCACTAGAAACTAGAGCCAAAACCAAAAACTCCCATATCTAATAAATTAGGTCTGAACACTTGCCAGGTGACAGATTCTGCTAGGAGGCCTTGTGGGTTTTGTCTGTGTGCTAGAGTCAGGTTTGATTGTTACTCTTGCAGCTCATATTAGCCTACGAGATTTCTCTTGGGACAGGAGGGGTTGGAGGCATGCTGCATCTTACGTGTGTGTGTGTGTGTGTGTGTGTGTGTGTGTGTGTGTGGCGGTTGTTTTTTGCCCAGCCCATGCTAGAATCCAGTCCTTGCAGTTAATATGGATGAGCTTCCCTGCAAATTAATTTGACTGGAAGGGTGCTTAAAAAATAGATATATTAGATGCATCTAACTAGTGTGAGAAATGAATCAAATCAGTAGGCTGCTTTATTGAAAAGGAAAGCATGAGCATACTCAAAATAGCAGCTAACTACTGTTGTCACATTTCAGTATGTATTTCGATACCCTTACAGGTTGCTTGTTGTTTTTAATTAGCGTTTCTGGAGCAATTACCATTGTTTTATGGCCTGAAGCAAAATCTTAAAGCAGCTTAGCGATTCCCTTCCCCCTTGCATTCTCTTGCCCATTCATTCAAGTGTGGTAGTGCTACGTGTAGGGTCTGTTGCCCTGTCAGAAAGATGAAATGGTCTGAGATAACTGACCAATTTCACTTTGCAGTTGGGTTTAGGTGCTAGGTGCTTCTATTCCTTCTGTTACGGGTTGTCAATACTGCTCTGGTTTGAACAAAATTGGACGAGCAGTACTGCTTACGCTGTTGCAGGAATGTTGGGAACGTATATGAAGTTCATTAGATGTTTCTTACCGTTCTCTCTTAAGCATGCTAGCATCTTCTGATTAAATAAGCAAATGATACTGAGCAATGTTTTTTTTCTTGAGCTCTGTATAAGGTCATCTAGCTCCCTTAGGGGTTCAAACAAAAGCAATGAGAAGGAAAGATCAAAGCTGGAAAAGCTCAAAGCAGCATGGTTGCCAGCATTGAGTGAGGTTGGCTGCGGCTCTTGTCTAGCTGCCCTTGAAAACCTCCAAGGATGGAGATTGCATAGCCTCCGAGTAACCTGTTCCAGAACTGCTCCACTCTCCTGATACACAAACACCTTGTTCTAGATCTGTGGCTTAAACACTAAAATGCTTAGGAGTGCTATACACCAAAACGCTGCAGTTTGAGGAGGGGATTGACTGGTTGCTTATGCTGGAAACTAGAAATTACAGGTTGGTTTATCTAGTTTGTTTAATCTTATTTACCTTGATTTTTGGCAAGAGGCTATTAGCCGTTTTATTTTGTGAAATGATATGTGCTAAGCACAAGTAGTTAGACTGAGTAGTTAGACTCTCTTGACTTAACACAGAAGAAATAAGTTTGATATAAAATTACACTATTAAAAAACAGGACACTGCCTTTTAAAACGTCGGTCAAATTACGCGGTCAAATTACTCTCTAGAGTTCAAGAGCTTTCCTTGTCTACATGTAAAATACAAGTACTTTTTGCCTGTTTCGTTTAGAAGTGGCCAGTACAATGAGGAAGCGTTCTTTTTCTATGCCTTATTTTGAAATCCTTTCCTGTATACCATTGCACTCTTTCTCCTGCTGTTATAATGTCTAATGCAAAAGATATGAAAGAGTGTCTTTAAGTGGTCACAAGAATTTGAAATACATAAATATTGGAGCGTTTCACAGACCCAGACTCCTTGTAAGAGATTGCCTCATCTGCTATGAGAAGGTGGTTGATACTGGCTTTCAAGGTGACCCAGACTGGAGGTAATTGTGAGTCCTCTTTGAAGAACACTTGAGTACAAGGGAGTAGCCCTTCATCTCACCCTTTGCCTTGATTGTTGCTCAAGTACAAAAGGCAGACGGACAGCACACCGTGATCAGGCCAAAGGTTCATGTATAAAAGGAGAAAAGCAAATGCTGAGGGAGGGAATGCTTTGTGCACACTGTCTCCATGTGCTGCACGTGTACTTGCCGGCTGGTCCAGCAGGGCAATGAAAATGGTTGACCAAGCTTCTGCAAGGGAGGAGAGAGAGAGATCACATCCTGGACTACCAGTAAAATGTTCTGCTGTGCCTGGGCTTGGATGAACCCAGTTCCCAGGGGATGTACAGTGTAGCCGAGGGAAGTTGTAGAGCCCCCTGCTGCTTTGTGGTGCCCCCTCTTGGCAAGCTTTGTGAGAGTTAAAATTTTGTGCGTAATCTACCCAAAAGGCTTAACTCTGTTAACTAGCTGTAAAACTTGCATATCTACTGAAAAAAATTTTCAGAATTGGCAGGTGAGCTCAGAAAGAGACAGGATCTGACTATAAGGAGGAAGCTGTCTTTGTAGACCTTGCAGGAGGTGAACCCTGGCCCCCAGCCTACCTGCAGAGGCTGGTTTATGTGCACCCTTTCCTGACTAGCATGGTCTGAGGAGACTGGCTACATCCACACTACATGGCATGTGGCTCACCTTTCCCTTGTACCCCTGAGACACAAAACCCTACAAGATACAACTGAGTTCAAAGCTTCTGAAATAACAATAACCACGTTTACAGTTTTTATCTTAACATGTTTTGTCCTGGTGAATGACACAGGAAAGCACACAGCCTCTTGAGAGAGTGTCAGAGAACTGTCTGGTGCAGAGGGTCAAAGTTGGTGCAGCCTGCCTCAGTCTTACCTACTTGGACCAGCCTTGGGAGCAAATTGTCCTGTCTACCTCAGCCAGGTTTCCCTTCTGGAGCAGGCTAGTTTTTTGCATTGTGGCTGATGAGGTGACGGGCTGGGAGAGAAATAAGAAGCTACTCAAACACAACGTAGTTACTGTTGTGATCTATATACAAAGAGTAAGTCGAACGTTGTTGTAATGATTTTTTTGAGAAGCAGTGGAGCTGCCATGTCTTAACCCTGGGTTGTATTACTTCAGATCGTTTGGTTGCTGCTTTTTTTCATTGTCTCTTGTAGCTGTTTCTTAATCTTACGTTTAATGTAAGCTACTTCTCAAGAGGGCTACCATTTGATGGAGCGGGTGTAGTACTGAACACGGGGGAAACAGATTGCTAACTGGGACTTCTAGATACAGTAAGGAACAAGAGTAACTTACAATACTATGCTGTAATATTTTTCTTTGATGCTTTGATAATTTAGGAAATTGATATCTGGGGACTTGATCAGGCTCCATGACCTAGGCCTGGATACTCAGCCTTCTCTTTGACTTCTTATTGTGCCTGAGAGCCTGCTTTTCATCCTTTTTCCCCTTGTTTTCTCTGCCCTGAAATGAGAGGGCGATACTGTATTGTATCGTTTATGGAGCATCTGTCACCATAGTATTTGAATACCATAGTTAATACAGTGGTGGCTATCGTATGCATCTTTAACAAGAATGCATTGGGAGAGGTGGGGAAGGGACACGTTTTCAGCCTCCCTTGATCTGCAAATATCCCCCCACGCTACCGTTAAGAAAAAAAATTTTTTTTAATGTGTAACTGAGGTGAGGACTCTTGTGTCACAATGAATTTTATGTTCCTGATAGTAAGTTAAAAATTTAATTACAAATGTTGTTTTGTCTTTTCAGTACATCAACTGTGGTAACCTGGAACAGCTATTAGACAGTAACCAGCATCTGCCCTGGACAGTGAGGGTGAAATTGGCATATGACATTGCTATGGGAATCAGTTATCTTCACTATAAAGGCATTTTCCACCGGGACCTTACATCCAAGGTACCATTCATAGAATGAAGGGAACTATTGAATGGAGGTACTCTAATTGCTTGTTTGGTTCTTCCCCCTTCTTCTATCAGATAAGTGGTGTTATATCAAACGTGATCTCGGGCATTGTGAGGAAAAAAAAAAAAAAACTGAAATACAGTGTATAGAATTGAAACTTTCCTCAGAACGTGTTGAGTAGTTTGTGTAGAAGCTGAAGAAATAACTATTCTGAAGGGAGGTAATTTCTTAAGTGAGTTCAGATTAGGGTTTCTCAGAAGGCAGCTGCAGAGTTTTTAGTTCTGAATTATGGTTGATTAATGTATTTAAAACCCTGGGTAATTAAGCATAGCAATCTAACGTTTGGAACAGGACAATCATATAAAGATCCTGAGTTGAGGAGATTATTATAAACACACTTTAGAATGTCCTTGCTGTTTCCCTACATATTTCTAAAATATTACTCAATAGGAAGAATGGCCTTTCATTACTAATTCAGAGTTAAGTGTTGTCCACAGTCTAGTTTTGTATTTCTTTACTTCATAAAGTCAGTAAGACCAAACCAGTTTACTTAAAATTTTTGGTGCTCTTAGAAGGGTTGGAAAGAGGAAAAGTTGGATAGGAAAGAAGGAAAATCTATATGGAGACTGGTGGAAGGGACTCTTGTACAGAAAGGGGGAGAACTGTTTAAGAAGAAATAGGGTCTCTAACCTGGTTTAGGATTCCTGTTCTTGAACAGCTTAATTCAGCTATGTATTTTTTGTATCAGGCAAGTTGTCTGTATCATTTGTGAACTGATAAGCTATCCTCTGGAATGATGTTTCAGTGTTAGAATTTTCCATGGACATAGGTTTGTCTGAACTGCTTTAGTGACTGCTTATGTAGATTTAGTTGACTGAAGCAGTTAACGGATTCACACTCAGTTAGAAATATTGGCATGTGAGCACCGAGCTCTGTGAACAAATTACCCTAGTATTCACACTATATCTTGCCATCCATCACAACATGTGACAAGGGCTTTGCTGTCCTGCCTATCTCCTGCTGTCTTTACTTGAGCTCATGAGCTAGTTTAAGCTCATTCAGGACCTGCAACATGGAAGCCTCCCAAAACTGTTCTTGTTAATCACTTAGTCACTTCAGGCAAAACCTTCAGAAAAACTTGCCTTAGCCGAAGAGGAACTATTTTTTAAGATTTAAAAAAATAGTTTTAAAAAATAAAAACTCAACTCAATACGTTGGCAAATGTGGACGACTTCTAGTCTTTCATCCAGTTTTAGTCAAGTAATTCTTCTGCTAATTTTCCCCCCTGCAATATCAATTTAATAGCCTTCTGCAATGCATGCTATAAGCTATCTCAGTGTCACGTTAAACAAATGAAGGACATGCATTTAGCCTAGAAAAAGAGTATTTAACTAGTAGGTAAAAGAAATGTGTCAGGGAAGCATAAAACATTTTCTTGGAGGTCCTTTCAAATGAAAAGTACTGAGTTCTGCAGGTAAGAATATCAATTTTGTGAAAAATGCCCAGACTTGGAGTCATGTCAGTTTGACATGATGTGCTCAAAAAGCATTATTTCAGTCACCTTGGAGTATGCGGATAAGAGATGCGTAAAAGTAACTGAAAATATAACTTAACATTCCCCCTTTTTTCCATTCATGATAAATTTTAGTGCATTCAAAAGACTAGGGAAGCACAGTTAGCACAAGGAACCCAAGTAACTCAGGAGAACTCTGTGCTTGACGTGTTTATCATGTACTGTGGTGGCTAGTCATATGAAAATCTATTTCCTGAGTCCTCTGTGAATGCCTTTGTTCAGAGCTTTTGTGTAATTTTATGCCATTCTTGGGAAGTGCCCTATCAGTGCTTCAATGTTATCTTTTGTTGAATGGTCTAAGTCATCGTTTAGAAAACGGGCCTGCTGGGAGGAGTATATGGCTTTAGTGCAACAGCAAACTCATCCATGACCATGGGAAGTAGTAAGGATATTTAAAATAATAATTAAAAAAACAACTATGAGTTATGTTTGGATTGCTCTTAGCACTGAAGGTAGTAAAGGTAAAGTTTATTTGTGGGTCACATTGGAAGCTGCCAGGGTGAGTTTGACATGTCAGCTGTGTTCTGAGTAGCTGGCTGTACTTAATAATTTACAGTTCCTTGATTTTTGAGGTGTTGTATGCAGTCAGTACTTCTCTGTTTTGTTCTTTGGAGGTGAACTGGATGAAACCTTAAATGCCCAGGTATTTGTGAATTTTAATAGTATGTTATTATATTGGTGAAATATACTTTAAATTGAAATCTGCTGTTGGGCAAATGACTCTTCTTTTGTGCAAACGTTTGCCCTACTAGCTGGCTAACTTTTAAAGAAGTCACTTTGTTCCAGATAGTCCACTGCAAAATATCCCTCTAATATGAATTTCTCTGTAAAAATTATTCTAGGTGGATTTGGTCCTCCTTTCTGCCTGCGTCTGGCAAACCTGCAACTCCTGTAGCTTCCTGTAGCAGATGGCATTGTGGATGCTGGAAGTTTGGTTTATCAGTTATGGCAGCAAAATTGTCTTGCTCTGACAATACCGTTGTATGTGCCCATGTACTGGTTGCATAAAGACTGAAAGAAGAGAAAGGTGTCGTGGCAATCCCTCCTCCCCTGCCAAAAGAAATAATTCTAGGATTGAGAAATAAGTATTTTTAACAATTAGCATATGGCAGGATAATGCCTCTTCCTGAATGTACCGTGTAGAGGGTAGCAAAACTGTGTTGATACTGCAGAGGGCCAGAGGGAAGAAGGGTATGGAGGAGCAGATGTAGGTCCATATACTCAACGTGGCAGCCCACAGGGGATGCCAAGCCTGACATGCCAGTTGTGCCCTAACTGCTGCCCTTTTGTCAGAGAGTGGGAGTGTTTGTTAAAGGAGAGCGTACTGCCCAGAGAGCCGATGTTTTCCCATGTTGTGAGCCGCTCAGCCCTTGGGCTCGGAGGTTTGGCTGCTGTAGCTGATCAGGTTGATCTGCCCTGATCAAAAGCAACAGCCTAAGTTGAACTGGTCAGAAGTTAAGAGTGATCAGAGTAGCTGTTTTCAGCCTGTACATGGCAGGTGCGTAGACGGGGTGACTTGTACATTTTGTAAGCCAAAACGATGTCCTCACTTTTGACTTCTCAAAAAGAGATTGATGTAGAGCCTAAACACAGCCATAGATTGGATGTGAGGACCAGGCTCCTTGGCTCATTCCCTGTCCTCGTTGCTCTCGCTGCAAGCCCTGTGAATGGTATTTTTGCTGGGCTTATTATAAGGTGTGCAAAGGAGGATTTGGGTCTTAGGATCAAGAGGCTTTTCTTCATGTTTCAGTGATTCTGAAGTAGGTCAGGTTATGAATTTTAACTCTGACAGCCTTAGTCAGGGAAGATGCAGCTATTAAAACAGAAATCATGCAAAATGTTGGGGGTGTTTGAATAGGAGACAGTATCCTATGATAAAGTTTTTCTTAATCTGGCTTGTTTTTGCAACACTCTGTCTGTTGTTACCTGTAACTTAAATATTGTGTTTGGGAAGGCAGAGGAATAACTTGTCCAGCCTACAAAAAGAATATAAGAAAATCCTTTGGTACCTCACCCCTCAAAATAAGTATCACTACTACGCAGAGTTCCTTCATGCCTCATTTTCTGCACTGTGTTCAAACCCTGCTCTGGAAGCACTGCTAATTTCCTTGGGAACCTACAGCAGTGACTGCTGTAGTATCAGTGAATTTATTGTTACAATATCTCTCAGATGAAGATGATCAAACTCTGTTTTACTAGAACAGATTAAAACCAAGAATATCAGTGAATATTAAGTTTGAGTTTTAAGACTCTGCTTGGAATATTTGGCATTTTACACGTGTTTTTAAGTTCAAAGCAACATGCTCACTGACCTCAGGGGCAGTTAGAAGTGTACTACACTTAAAAAATAGTCAAGCTTGACCCCTAGAGGCAGAGAGAGCACAAGATGAGCGAGCATCTCTGAAAGGTTTTGTTAAACTAGCTTCCTTGTCACAGATCCTCCTGTGATGCTGATGGAAGGGCAGAGCCCAGATCCTGGGGCACCACTGCAGCTATCTTAACCACAAGGCTGAAGACCTTTATCTCAAACAGTCCTTCCTTTTCATCACCTTCTTGTTTCTGTGGCAAGAGTGGCTGGAGTCCTGAAAATAGCAGTACTAGTGTTTTATGCATGGCCCTGGTTCACTGTCAGCCTATTCCCTTGAATGCACTGAAACGCATGGGTGCCCAGTGGAAAATTGGCTATGTAATCGTGTAATTAAAGACTTTACCTTAAAGCATATGCTTAAGGGGTAGAAAATAAATTCTCAGAAAGTTTTACATCCCCTCTTTTGAGTGCAGTATTCATTTTTTGACGTAGGCTATTTTGTGTGCAACTTCCTATCTATTTAGAAAAACAAACTGGGAAAAAAACAGTGGCATTATGCTGTTCATTTGCAGGATTAGAACCTTGAGATTGCAGAGGTATTTGCTGCTTTAATTAATTCTGTAACTAATACATGAAGTATTGCTAATTAGTATTTAGTGCTACTATCAGTAGTTAGTATTACTAATACACGTAGCTTGTTTTTGCTATGGAGCAGCGATAGGAAGAAGAACAAGAGAGACTCCTTGGCAGTGAGAAGGGAACATCCACTAGGAGCCTGCCTCTTCTTCCAAGGCTGATCATATCCAGTCTGTGTCTATCCAGTCCTTTCTGCTTGCCTGCAGTGCCAGCTGCCATTTGGGCTTTTCATCCTTGTTCCAGGGCTTTTCCTCTTCTTTTGGCTCCAAGTTTCTACCCCCAGCCTTCTTGTTCAATCTCCTTGCCCAGTTGACTGCTGTTACTCTCTTCTTGTTGCTCCCACAGATGCTTTATCCAAGCTCGCTCTCTCCGTTCCTGTCTCCAGTGTGCTTAGCCATTTCTAGCTGTCCTTCTGTTCTGCTGCTCCAAGTTCTGTTCTCCCTGCCCCTGCTTTGCTCTGCAGTTCTCGTGTCTAAA